TGTGATTGCTATAAGATGATATTTCGTAAGCTGAAATTTAGGATTCCTACTCGAACTCATCCTCAGATTTAGTTACAGAAAGGGGTAATATAGACACAAGGGGCACAGTGTGTACAGGATGCAGTTGCCAAATGCCAGCTTTAGTCGTGGTTCTGCTGTCCGAAATCAAGTCATAAATGCACCAACCTCGTTTCTGTATATCCTTTGCTGTGAATTTGGCTGAGAAACATTAGGCTACCGGGGAGAGTGCGAATGACTAGTAAACAGGGTTACAGCTAGCTAGTTTGCCAAGTAATCGTCGTACCAATGATCGACAAGGGTTATGAAATCCAGGCCATTAACGACTGGGATCCGGAACGGCAAGCAATCCTTTTGTACGTCTGTGTACATTTTCATTTTTGGCATGCACCCTTGCCACCTGAATTTGTATGTTTGTTTAAGTCAACTAATCGAAACCCTCCTGCCAACTTCTACTTAGAAAGAAGGGACTTTTGCGAGTGTTTTGTCATCATCTTGAAGTTTCCCTGACTAACGGCGCTGATCGCGACCATCTCTTTCAGTTCCTCCTTTCGCGAAAATTGTCCAACAATGGCAGTGTTGCGGCCCCCTTGAGGAATATTGCTACAAGTCCGTCCTCAACTGCTGTTAGAGAGGGATATTTGTGAGTTTGTATCAGGTTTTTTCTTCGTTGTTGTTTTTTCACTTTTCGGTCAATTTGTATATCCCTGTAGTTTACGGTAGTTTAGTCACAACCTCCTCAGTTTTGCGTTACATTGCTTTGTAAATATTGTTCGATTTCTAGACTTCAATCCTAGTTAGCAGTACACTTTGGAAGGTGACGGTAGCTCGACCTCATTAACAGTCGATGCAGAATGTGTTGTATGCTCCTGAAGATCACAGAAGTGAAGGGCCAGCGGCCAACTCTGAGAGGGGAACCAGAAAAATAAAAACTACCGAATAGGTAAGGCCAAGCATTCCACTTTTTTTATTTTCAAACTTTAATGGCAGCATATACAACTTATGATTGCTTAATGCGTGACTCCTATGGAACAGAAACCAATTAATGGACCGCATTTTGATTTAAAACATGACCACGTAATTACGAGCAGGAATGACACATAGGCATCCGCCAACCGGTCCCCTATTCCAGGGTGTTATGCTTATTTCCAGGACGATTATAGTTAGTATTAAGGATAGATTTGAAGTTAAGTTACGGCTTAGGGCTGCAAATTGGGGGTATAGTCAGTTTTATAGTAAGGGTTAAGGTATATGAAGATTTGCCCCTCCGTTGAATTTTTTACAACGTCCTCTGAATTTCCGGGAGTTTCCCCTTAACTATCATACCCAAGCAAGCTCCACATCTTTTCTATTCCTTTGCAAACAATGATAATTTAATCCTTGGCTCGTAACTGCAAAAACTTTGTGTTTGCGTATATAAGCGAGCCTATAGTACGGAAATGCGTGAAGCGAACAGCATGGTTCGCTTCAACTCCTGATTAAAATGCAATCAAATTATCCGGCATACCCTTGTTTTGCGGTCCTGAGTCTCACTCAAAAGAACATTGTAGCGAGAAAGCAGTTCGTGAATGCCCGACGCAAGATCCAGGAGGGCCACGTAAGCGGCCAACTGCTCAGCTATTCTTCTCCACCGGTCTTGGATGTCAGCTGTCCATCTGTCTATATAGTCCGCTGTGCGCTGATTCAATGCGGCCACCGAGGCGGCTCCACCCGAAGACGCTCCACCCGTCGCAGTTCGCAAGGCCTTGGACACCTTTCTCGAGAGGTCGTCAAAGGCTTGCATCGTCTGCTTGTTCACCTGTTGATAAACGAGAAGGATGCAAACAGAACTTTGCATTAATTCCAAACAACTCGGAGCCAAACTCCAAAGCTTAAAGTGGGGTTAGGTTATAACTTCAAGATCATTAAAACAATAGCAAAGCCTCTGTTTCCCATAGTAAGAACAGTATAAAATATATTAAATAAACTTACAGTTTTTCCCGCAGCGGCCTCCTTGGCTTTGTCCTTTAGAGAGATACAATGATCGTAGTCGGATCCCAGATCACTCTTGGCGAGGAGAATGTCCTTATCGCGTAACCATCTCTCCAGTGCCTCCGCCTACGAACGAAGTAAATTGTGAAAATAATCGGTGTTGTACGCAAGTCTGAAATCACATGGATATCCCTTGTTGATAGCGCTTAGGTACGCGAATGAAGAACAAGCTGATATATTCCAGCAGGCAGTACACCACATCCGACATTAGAACTTAAACGATGGGTACTGTTGTTAAAAGGTACATTCTTGCGTACTAGGTGAGGTGTGACTGTTAAACTCAGAAGGACGATCACGGATGTAAGGCGCAGAAAAAAAATAACTTGACGGCCTTCGATTTCTCGTGTGATTTGGAGAATTAAAATAGCGAGCAGCCGTTTCAGGTGGATCGCATATAAATTCTTAAACAACCGTTGAGTGTGTTCACCGTAACATATATGCTCACAAATCGATGCCTACAGGCAGGTTACAGACGGCGCACCCACAAAAGATTCTACAAGGTCTAGCAACCACAATTTAATTCTCTTTCTGGATTTCAATATGTTCTTAATCATGCGTTCAGTCACCCTTAGATCTCTGTGAAACTGCTGTTTTGTTTTTGAAAAGCCGCCTATAATTTTATTAAGGTTCTACTGACTAAGATATAAATGTTACACTTTACGGGCGCTGTCCTCCTCTGGCAGCGGACTTTTTATTGTATAATTCATGATAGACATTAGTTTTGACGATAATCAACGCAGGTGGGCTAAGCAGAAGCCTATAGCCTTTCGGCAGTAGGTTGTTGCGAATGAAAGTCCTGAAAGGCAATGTCTATTTTAGTATCGACACGGTCCAAAACCATTCGTACATCTGGCATTCTTTCTAAATTGCGCTTCCTGCAGTTGATCCAGAAGGGGCCGAAAATAGTAGATCACACTATATTCCATACCCGACAGTGCCCAGGTTTCAGTTCCTACTGTCCGAATAATATATTCTCAACTGCACATGGCAGTGGAAATATTATGGCAATAAATTGCTTTCGATTATAATATTGTAACTATCGCTGAAGCTAATAAGCGAGCTCCAGGAAGCAGTTCAGAAGTTGACGATATAATCGTAAGAACCAGAAATTTATTTGCATCTGGATTTTAAGTATGGTTTTTACTAGTGTCTTCGGAGGCAATGCTGATTACCTCTAACTGTACCGAATTATATACTGAATATATTGAACTACCAGTAGTGGAAGCACCAGGTTGTTTTCAATGGACGCCCGTAAGAATAAATAATTCCCAAACATATGCTAATTGAATACTTTACACTTAAGAAACGCTCGCTTTACGTAATAAGAAAGAGAAAACGATCAATACTGAAATATGCGATGACATGGCCAGTAAAGCGAAGCTTGGATAGGTTTTGTTGCTGTTGTCGACAATCACCGAGACCCGAATATTTGATTCAATGTTAGATCTTAACTACCGAAGTCTTTTCCGAATAGAGGTAATTCAGAGTGCACAAAAAGAGCCCCTGTTAGAGCTTGCGAGAGGAAATCCTCTAATATTGAAGACTGCCAAAAGAAATCGGGCTTCCAGACGGAGGAGAGTCGATTTGGCGGTTGTTAGGAATTGCGTAAGGCATTGTCACTAACCTTCTTATTTAAGCCCAGGTTTCGATATAACCTTCTCGCTCTAATGTTCCCCTCTATCCTCCTTTATACCGTTCTATTTTATACAGCTATGTCTGATCCATGGAAGAAGCCTTTCGAAATTCAGAAGTGTTGGTTCACGCTAGGTGGATCATCGTCAGACTACTGATTCAAAAATATAGAAGTCATCATATATAGTAAACACAGTGTTTGTCCGTATTTGCGAAGGACGTACCTCACGTTGGTAGTCCAGTAGGTCACGTGACTGGTTCAAAGTCGCCGCAATCGCCGCACACGATGCTAGCAGGGCCTTCCAGCGTTGGTTGATCCTCTCTAGCCGCTCAGCCAGTCGCTGACTGACGGCACTGTTTGGGTTGTTAGTAACTTTGTTCTCCTCTGCAATGAGCTCCTTAGCCCGTTTTATCAGGCCTTCGGCATGCGAGCTATTGGCTGAGACAGAATTCTGTGCAAAAAAAGGATAAAGAGGAAAGTGAATGAGTAGAAAGCTTGCAAAATGTCCAGCCGTTACTTGAGTTCAAAAGGGATGTCCCAACCGGGAATTTAAGTTTGGCCGCAATAGGGACAGCGCCAGACGTCTGTGGGGATCAAGTCCTCGTTTGACATAGACAGAATTGGGGTTCAGACCACAGCGGTCACTGAATGCCTCTTCATTATTCCCCGTCGAGTTGAATATGTTTTCCCATTAGTTCATGAGTGGACGAAACCTTTTCACTAAAATTGAGCCGAAGGTCATAGGAACTATCATGATTTTCATAAAAGCCGCGGTTTTAGGACTTATCAACGAATGGGAAGAGACCCGAACGTACACTAAAACCCATAATGCCTTGTAGACACCTTTACTCAGTCCTATAATAACACTCCACGATAAATGTTGTCGGTTTCGTTTAGGCTGTTAGACCATTACAAGCTTGACGCGAAAACGCAGTGAACGTTTATCGCGCCAGTTATTGCATCCAATCAAAATTCGTCTTGTTGGAGCAGCACAACGAGTATGAACAGGGAAAAATTAATTACTCAGAGGAAGCTACGTATTGTCAAGAATCCTGGTTCAAAAAAACAGCCTTCTTACTTATGTATTAATGCGATTACCCAGTTTTGTATAGAACTGTTTCGCACAGAGCTAGTAAAAAGATTAATTTTTTTATCGTCATACCTGGAAAGTTTCTTGGCGCTTCAAGGTGTTCAACTGTTCCAAGATGACATCACCCGTCATTGTTACTTCTGCCTTCGGCCTGCTTAATTCCGCAAGTTCAGCCTCTCGTTCATTGAGCCAACCTTCGATATCCCTCGCTTCTTCTTCCCACGTCAACTGACGGCTGCAGCGATCCAAGCTTGCCATTAAATCCGCACAATCCTGTGGGCAGTAATATTCATAACACGAAATTTGAAGAATTATTGGACAAAAATTATGGTAGGAAAGTCTTTAGAGGTCCTATTTGCCTTTGGCTTATAATACTAACCTCATTTTACATTTTCAGTAGACTGACTTTCATTTTTTCGTTAAATTCTGCCAATATAAGATCGAATTTTCATCAATAGGCATCAGTTGCCTGAGCAACTGGAGTTTATGTTGATGAAGTTGATTCTATTTTGCCCATTAAAACAAATATATGTGGCTTTAATTTAATATTTTTTGATCGCTTTCAACGCCATTAAATATTCATTTACACTCGTTAACCAAGAATTAAATGTTTAATCACTAATTCCGCAAGACAGTTGGGCGGAGGGAACAGATATTTGGGGAGACCTACAAGAGAGTTTTGCCAAATATTTAAACTCAATATGAGCCTTGCAAATCCTTACGTTTGTAACGTCTGTTTACACATGATCAGGTGAAAACAATGTGATTTAAAAGAGGAATCAGCCGCAATTTGGCTCACCTTCGTCAAATTTTGTCGAGCTTTTGAGTACTGGTCGATACCCTCGCGAATGTCTTTCGCGGCATAGTGACCTTTGTTAATCATTTGGTTTGCTGACGCAGTTACAGC